GTGTCAGAATTAATCGTGGCTTCAGAAGCTTCGCTCACACAGGACCGACGTTTAGATGTGTCGATGACTAAAACTTGTCATTATCCGTCTGATTCATCCTTTTCAGTGAAATTACATCCATTGTCGTGTCTCTCCTCCTGCAGATCCGTCAGTGCATCACAGGCAGAAGACAGTGGTGACAGACATGTGCTACCCAACAGAGATATCCAGCCTGATGGACTTTGGCACTCCAGACTGCTCGCTCGGCAAAGGTACGGCGTGGCTGGAAAATACAAGGTGTTGCCTTGGTGACAGCGGGAAGTGAGCACCATGATTTATCCTGGCAGTTAAAAAGACACGGAGCTGTCACAGTGTGACTGGGAGGTTAATGCCGGAGCAGAGGCCCGAGCAGGCGGAGAGCAGCAGCGCTCTGTACCTGGCCGAGGGGGTCCTACGTTCACGGCAGGCTCTGATTTATCGCAGCTAAATAACGCGTCGTGTCACGCGGTACAGAGCGGAGAGGCGGCGGCATCACACTGTGAGACTTGATTGAGTTCCAAGAAATGCATTTTACTTTGCTGGCTTTAATCTGAAAGGAGCTTTATTGAAGTTTATCGCACTTGAGTTATATTGTAATGTGCAATTATTGCATTGCAGCAAGAGCACTTATCTTCTCTTTCAGCGTGAGAGCGAGGCTTGTGTAGCTCACAATAATGGTCTCTTTCAGCTTCTCCTGAGTGCTAATCACACTGACCAGCATGTATCCATACCACAGAAGGTATTGATCATGAAGTCTATCGATTGCGTCTGTATTGTTGCTTCATCTTTAAGCCTCGTGTCAGTTTCTCTTTCACATCATAATAGCGGCTATTATTCTCTATTGTTCTCAAGCTGATATCAAACCACAAAGTCTGCACTGTAATTGTGATTCCAATCTTTTCATCCAGTCCCTTCGCCGGTCGGAGCATGCTCAGTGGCTGCTCGCCCGTCCTCACGTCATCTCCATCAACAATGAGCAGTTGTGACCTCAGTGGCTCGCTCGCCTTCCTCCTCCACTGCCCATCTCTGCCTTCCTCCTCTTCCTCTCCACCTCCTCCTTCCTCTGCAGGCTGGCAAATATTTTAATGCGGCTGCACCCCAACTCTCTATCAACACTCCCCAGCGCTGATAATGCAGACTGACAGGTCAGCCGTGTGCAGCGGGGAGAGGGGAGAGCAATACAGCCGAGGAGAGCGGAGGGTAGAAAAGAAGGCTTTTAGGATTTCTTCTGGCTTTAATGTGAGCAAAGCAAATGAATGACATAGTGATACAGGGAGTTAAGCTGAAGAATAAGGACACTGAGGAGTGGAAAATTTCAGACTGAAGAGGTGTCAGGATAAAAGCAATACTGTGAATAAAATTCGGCGTAGCTGAGAGGCAGGCTGCGGCGTGACTTTGGAATTATAAAGTGGTCAAAATTTTCTATTCATATGAATTGCTGTCGCTCTTTAGACAAGTTTAAAAAAAACCGCTGCACTCAGACAGATTCAAGATGTAATCCAGGTGAATGTGCTTATGTAAAAGTTTTAATTATTCAGATCTGTAAGCAGCAACAGTAGCAGCAAAACATACATCTGCAACATCTGGATTTCCTTATTGGGGCTGCACAGTGGCTCAGTGGTTAGCACCGTTGCCTCGCAGCTAGAAGGTCGCTGGTTCAAGTCGCATCTTTTTGTGTTGAGTCTCCATGTTCTCCCCGTGCAGCGTGGGTTCTCTCCGGGTTCTCCGGCTTCCTCCCACAGTCCAGAAACATGCTGAGGTTAATTGGTGATTGTAAATTGTCCGTAGGTGTGAATGTGAGTGTGCTTGGTTGTCTGTCTCTAAGTGTAGCCCTGTGATAGACTGGTTACCTGTCCAGGTGAACCTGCCTTCACCCTGAGTCAGCTGGGATAGGCTCCACCCCCCATGACCCTGGTGAGGATTAAGGTGTAGAGATGATGGATGGATGGATGGATGGATGGGTTACCTTCTAATGAAGAAACTCTATCACAATAAACTGCTGTGGAAGACTTATCTTTGCAATCTTTTGTCTCGGCTCTGATCAGTCGGAGGGAATGAGCCTGGCAGTGATCCTTGAGGTGTCGGCGTGTGATTGACAGATCCGTCGCCTCATGTGACAAGTATCTGGTTAGACCGTGTTTGATCTCTGGACGGAGCTAAAGCGCTCAGCGTCAACCTCTGACAGGCAGGACAAACGGCGTGGTCACTCTGGACCGCTGCCACGTCTTTAAATGCGAGACATTTAACAGAGATTTCACACAGACACGCTCAGACACTCGCACAGCGCTCAGGCTTTAGTATGCTAGTTATGTTACTCAAGTGCTCATAAACCACAGATTCCATTAGAAGTTTATATCGAGGTGGCCTCAGCATTAATTCAGCTGCTGTCCTGTCTCTCCTCTTCCAACCACCGGCCTGTACCTGCCTCAGGGTTTCAGGCCTAAAGAGCCCTGAGAGGCAGGCCCATAACCTTATTTACTCTGTCACTGTGTCCACACTCATCCCAGTTCCCATCTAACATGACACAGTCTGTCCTTAGTCAGCACCGAGCAGAGGAGGGTTGAATCCCCAGAGGGTTAAAGATAACAAGGGAGAGCTCGCATTAATAAACTCATCTCGGCGTGTGGAGGTGAGGCAGTTTGGCTCCAAGCGTAAACTTGGTATCACTTCACCGCCGTCGTGATCCGTTTTTTTGAGGCGTTTATGTTGAAGTTTACACTCGTAGCGTTTACAGTATATTCAGGGTTTGCATTCCTGTCTCCTCTGGCCAAAACACACATTCACATTCAGGAAGTGAGTTATGTAAACTCATGTAGGCTACAAAGGCATCGAGGCTCCGAGGAGGGGGCTGCCGCTCTGTAATTGCACAGACTGTCTTCCTCTCGGCCGTCAGGTGGAGTGAGAGCTCCACTGACTCACCTGCTTCATTACCTGAGGCCTGAGGTGCAGTTTGTCTTCCCCTCCCCCTCACCCTCATCCGAGCAGCAGAGCCGGAGTGGGCGTGGGTGAAAGGTGTCCTCGCTGCCTCTGGGCGTGTCGCCGAGCAGGTACACAGCAAGTGGGAGAGAGAGAGAGCGAGCGAAGGCCTATTCACTGCCAAGAAAGAGCAGGGCAGGTATCTGTCGGGGGACGACTTCCTAGTAACCTGGCTGGGTGGAGCCTGGGCGAGCGGAGCTGGGAGCGGCCGGCTGCACCAGTGCTGTGGAGTGTGAATGGTGTGTGCACTGGCCTGTATGTGTGTGTGTGTTTTCTTTTTTTTTCACCTGATATGAGAGCTCACACCAGAGTTGACAGTGGAGCCGAGCGGAGCCTGTGCCGAGGAGGACATGAGGTCGGAGAAGGAGGAGGGGAAGGCCGGTGAGTTCCACATGGGAAGGAGAAAGACGCTGTGTGAGCGTAGGCCTGAGCAGTGGCTTGAGCTGGAGATGGCTGCTTCAGTCCTCATGTACATATACAGTTATGTGTGCTCGCCTGCACTGATTATGTAAGAGGAATTTGAGAGTCATAACTGCTTCATTCCTGAAGCTCTCCATGTTTGTCGTGGAAATCATTGGTGAGACGTGGTGGTGTGGAGTACGTTTAAGTGCAGTACTTAAGTACACTTCTTCTCCTCAGATACCAATCAAATGAAAAACTTGTACTTCAGACTCACTATGTGACATCTACAGAAAATACTAATATTTATGTAAAGTATATGAAGAGTTTATGACATAAAACACACTCTGTAGGGCTGCAGCTAATACGTGTTTTTATGATCAGTTAATCTCTTGATCAATCAATAACTCTTCTGGATGATAAAATGTCAGCACACAGGTTCCCAGAAGCCACGCTGACGCCGTGACCTGATTGGTTTCTCAGGAAAACAGCCCAAAGCCCAAAATATTGGATTTGCTGTCGTAAAAGATTATTGAAACCAGAAGTTATTCATGTTTAACGAGACAATCTACTGAAAACAAAATACCAGAAATGACTGTACACAGACGCCCACCCGCCCAGAACCTGCTCCTGTCAGAGGCTTCCTGCTGCTGAAGGACGTTTTCTGTCCAACATGCTCCAGAGGTGGTTGTTGGGTTTCTCATTTAAGGTTGTGACCTTATTGTGTGACGTGCACATGGTGCTGTGTAGAATACTGAATTAGTTTGAGTTGTCATTTATTAGTAGTTTGACTGTGAGCATTTATTCTGGTGTTATTATGGTGACTGTGATCTGACTGCGGCTTACTGTACTTGTATTTATTCATACTCACAGCCCTTTACTGTAAAAGCTGATTTATTTAAATCTATTCCACATCCCGGTCTTGTTTGTTGTTTTGCTTAAGATAAGAACTAAACGCTGACCTACATATGATATGTCCATGGCGATGATCTTTTAATCTGCTATAAGCATTGTGCATGAACAGGGCGATGTTTGGTCGGCATTACAGCCTTTAGTGGCTCAGCAGACACACTGGAGCTCACCTAATCTGAGAAAGAACCGCCCTGATGGACAGCGTCTCCACCGGCCCTCGTGTTTGGATTAATGTACCAACCAGACGTATTGTATGCTGCAGTAAATGAAGATGCATTACGGTCGGCTGAGGCTGCTTTGTGTTGGATCCCACAGGAAGAGACGCCGTCATTGAGGAATGATCTTTATTCTTTGCTGCGATGTCATGAAAAGGTTTTTTGATGTTTGTGTGTCTGCGTTCATATGCGGTCATGTGGTCTGGTGAATGAATAGAGATGAGTTTGATCCGGCTGTGGTTCGCGTGACTCCCGCTGCAGCAGCTCGTGTCCTCTGAACCCCGAGGTCACCACTCAAAATTGCAGAAGATAATGAGTTTGACCGATTGCACTGCAGCAGACAGATGGTAGCATCACTGTCAGCGTCGCGCTTCCGTTTCTGTTGGAAAGTCCTTCACTGAGATCATTAGACGCTTAATGCAGCACATCTTCATATAGAGCTGTTTTTTTTTCTTTGCTTAGTTTTCGTCGTAATTTCTGCTCCGTCTCTGTGAACTGGAGCTACTCTGAGCTAATAAAGGACCATTATTACTTTCAACATCTCCACAAGCATAACACTGAATGTTAATGAGCGCAGAACAAGCATTTATTGCCACATTTTACATGATTTAAACTCCTCAGAAAGGCTTTTAAAATTTCATACACCAGCTCCAGTGGCGGCTCCGGCGTGCAGTTTGTGGGATTACTCTGCAGCGCCCCAGGACATGAGAGGGATGGTGCATCACATCATG